GAAGCAAAATAGTTCTGTGTTTACAAAGTCAGCGTGATGCTAAGTCACCATGTGGATGGGGGGAGGCGGGCTCATAGTGGAAGGAGCACAAATCAAAGCGTTTGCATAAATCACATAGTTTGCATATCAGCTCCATGCAAGAAATGGCTATAATTTCTAAGTTTTGTGTGTTGTATGGTGTATCACCCATTTTATTATCACACATGTGCATTGGATGAACAATGAAAAAATAAGAAAAGAGTAATATATTATCTTTAAGTTCTAAAAGAAGAGAGAAATGGGAGATCCCAGTTACTTTTCATTTCTCATTGGGTTGTCTCTTGTACAGTATTTCTGCTCTGAGTTAGGATCATGTTATTTAGGGTTTAACTTGCTCTCGGCGCTGATGGTGTTGCTTTTGAAACACCTTAAGCACTCATCTTTCTCCACTTATCTCCCTTAAAACAACCAAACAGGCCGACCAAAGCCTTGCGCATGACACAAGCTGAAGAATAGTCTTTATTTTAGTAATGAGCTCCCGCTGTCATGTTTTCTTCTCCCAGCTGCGTCTTTTATTCAAATACGTGGTTGTTTGAGCACAAAAAAAATCCCACTGTGTTAGGAATAGAGCTGTCAAGGATGTGGAAAAACAAGGTAGCGATCCATCTGCGGTTACATTTTTAGATTGTGGGGCACTGTGTCTGTACAGTGACATGCTTTAATGGATCTTGTCAAATTGGCACCAAATTATTCCTCCAAGGCTGACGGGTGAAAGACACGGTACTAAACTAAACCCAGCATATGTTCCTTGTATAACTGACACAAAATTACACACTTTTTGTTTGTACTTCATTAAATCATGGCATATTTTATAATAAATGAATGTAATATTGTGGGATGAAAAACCGTGTAAGCAAGTGAACAAGCAAGTAGAAGTGTTGGTCACAATACTTCAAAAAAGTAAATGGGCAAAAGTATTTCTTCCTCAGTTCTCTCAGTTTGATTGTCTGCCCCACCCTGATGTGTTTCACTTGTGTCTACGTGTACCATGTGTCCCCCCATTTGTTGCTGGTCCATTCGTTGTCTGTCTATATCAGTTGTTTTCCTGTTAATGTTCTGATTTTTATTTGTATTTATTTTTTCCACGGACCCCGAAGGCAGCAAGTGGGAAAGTGATGATGGAGGAAGTCAGTGATGTATGTAGGGACCAGGTTGTGGAGGGACTTGCAGGTAGGAGGAGGATCTAGTATTGCATGCGGTATGGAACCAGGAGTTGTTTGACAGGGGTGATGTGGTCTGTGGGTAAGCAGGCGGGCAGCAGAGTTATAAACAAACCAATCGAGTTAGATCTCACTATCTCATTCCAAAAATTCAATTCAATTTATTTTAGTATAGCCCTAGGTCTTAACAGAAGGGTTATCTTGGAGGACTTTACAAATCCGTTTAATTCGCCAATAAAATAAAACGGACAACACATTGGCAATACCAGTTGTATGTCCATAAGGAGCAGATGACCAATGTCCGTAAGTGTTCATAAGTGTAGATGAATGTTGAGTGTCCTGGGTCATCACCACTGTCCTTTTAGTTAGAGCTTAAAGTAAAACATTACTTTGGATGAAACGTTAAATAAGTTCTATCTATCTAATTACTAGTAGTATTAGAAAATTTGGACCTCTGTGTCTCCACCATATGATGCATCCTAGCTTTAAAATATTCTGTGCCGGGCCTAGGCTTAAGGTTTACATTTAGAATGCAAGTATAAAAAGTGGTTTTCTTGCCTCAGTTTCTTCCATCAGTGTTCGTCCGAATGCAATTGCGGACCACATACACAAGGACATGAATCATTCAGCATGTGTCTCGTGTCTTCCCCCGACAGAACTCCGATGCTGTGAAATACACCTCAGGAGAGAGCGAAAACCCCCCATGCTTTTATGGAGATCTACTTTACCACCATTACACTGGATCTGAACATGAAGACCATCCAGTTTATCATGTAAATTTACTGTTCCCTGGCACCTCTGTCCATTGAAACATGGGCTTTGGTTTGATTTGTTTTCTTTACAGCCCTAAATCACAGTACCAATTGTCTCTGAGGAATTTACAAAGTTGTCGATTCACCAAAAACAGATCAGAGAATCAAACAGTTCTAACACAGGAAATGCAATACAGGAGCATAATAGGAGCCAATGGTCCTGTAGAGTGGGATGACCACTGTCTATAAACTTTCACTTATGACCTGCTACCCTTGCGCTAGCATTCAAGCTCACAGGAAAAAATACTTGGCGTTGATGGTACTGATGAACAATCAAAAATGCCAAGAGAGCATGCAATATTTTCATGTTAAAATCCATCTATGTTTTATATGTGTCCCCAGATAATTGGTCAACATGTACATTTATTAACCATTAGTGCTGGACTCCACCGGCCGCGTCTCTGTTTACGCGCGTAGGCTGCTGCCCGTCAGACGTCCATAAAACGGTGGCCACACCGGCTTCAGCAGCGCGCAGCTCTGGCTGTGCGTTTATCAGCACTGTGAGGCTTTGTTTTAAATAGAAGAAGCGGTGTGTGATTTGCATGAGCTGTGGCTATGATCTATGCAAAGCACGGCATATTGAAGCATCGAGGACGTTGCGATGGATGAGGCAAAACTTATTGAAAGCAATTGGAAAAAGGGGAGAGAGAAAAGAGACAGATCTCACAACTCCAGTGTTGTGAGGTTGAAATTAAAACCTGTAGCCACACTAGCCCCTTGAGGACCAGTTAATCACCCTTGGCTTATGAGGTTCTTAATAAGACGTAAAGAAGCTAGTACTGCCTAATTACCACATGTTTGGGTTCTGCCATCGTCAGAGGAGATATGTGACGTTGTGACGAGATCAGCTACTAAACCGATGCGGTCAGTCTGACACTGACCACGCCCTCCACCACGCCGTGGTCTCTAGAGAAGTGTTTTCCAAGTGTGAGCCAAGGTGAAGGGCCCCTCATCTCTGTTCAGGGTCTGTGGTCCCCACACAAGGAACTTTTATACATTCATTCTTGTTTTTAAGCAGAATATCCAATCAGTGATGGCAGGAGGAAGATCTCATTTGGGTTTCCAGTTTGTCAGGAGAAATTTTGTTGTTTTTGGATTTTTTACATAAAACAACATTCCCAAACACAAAAGCACTATACAATTATTTACATGAAAACTAAAAAGTATTCATACATATTATGATAATATGAGTTCGTCCCATCTCTAGCACAGCTCTGTGATTTGTAAACAATGTGAAGATAGAATAGCATTTGTAATTGTGACAATACCTTAGAAATTATTTCTGATACCTCTACAATGGGATCAATAGCAGACAACCGGAAATGCTTTTACTGAAATCGAATGTTTTATCTTCATGGATTCTCTTTGAACAAAGCACTCTTTACACTTCATAAGGACACATAGATTTCAGATGCTTTTTTTCTCTCCTTGAGTCTAGACAATTCTGTTCTTTCCAAACTTCAAAAGAAAGACTGTAGCGCACTACTTCTAACACAACTGAACTCAGAGAAGTCATTGTTCATAGTGGGCTCTGTGTACAAATGTGGAATACCAAGTCTATTAGCACTTGAATCGAGTCAAGTTGCCAGCACTGAAGAGGGTAGTGAGTGCAACACATTCACCAATACAAATCCATGCATGTTCTGAAATTATTAAACAAAAGCAAGGTGGCATTTGTTTTACACAAGGCAACTCAACGTGCTTAACAAAACAAAAAAAGTAAGTGGCCATAAGGTTCTGCCCTGCCTTTTGGCATACAAAAGGCAGGGCAGAACCTTTGGAAACACCAGGTGCCACAGTGGGGCGGCTGCGGCTGTAAAGTGCCGAACTGTCGTTGTGCCCTTAGGCAAGACACTTCATGCCAATTGCCTAGTATGAGTCTGGTGTGTGTTTGCATGGCTGGTGGTGGTCGGAGGGGCCGATGGCACATAATGGTTGCCTCGCTTCTGTCAGTTTGCCTCAGGGCAGCTCTGGCTAGAGTAGTAGTTTATCACCACCGTGTATGGAGTGAATGAAGCGTCTTTGAGTGTCCTTAAAAGCGCTATATAAAACCAATGCATTATTATTATTATTATCAAAAGAATAATAATAATTGCAGAAAAATAATAAAGAGTGGAGATACAATCCTTCAGTTGTATGCAATAGAACTGTTTTAACCTGGATTTGAACATGGTCCGAGTAGAAGCCTGTCTCTCATTTTCATAGATGCATAAATCGAAAAACACTGCCTCCCCATGTGCCTGGGCACCAGCTGGAGGCCAGTCCCTGTGCTCCTCAGAGTCCGAGTTGGTTCATAAGGTACTAATATGTCAGTAATGTATTTTGAATGTACTTTGGGGCGAGGCCATGGAGAGACTTGCTCACAAACATAGAGCTGCTTTAAAGTCTATTATCTGAGAATAGAAAAAGAACAAGTTCCTGACTTCAAATTTAGAATTTGGTTGATAAGTGCTGACATAGGAGCAGACCGTATAATGGCTGTATAATCATATGAAAATCACAGAAAGTGGAAAAACCTCAATAAAGAAACTCATTGGTACTGATTGGCGGTGAAATCCAAAGACTGATGGGAAAACAGTAAACAATGCTGCACATACACCATGCTCTAGTTTAAAGCAGTACTAAGTAACTTGCGCTTAGCGCGCCCTCTAAAGGTCACTTTTGGTTATGTCACTGTCGTAAACACTCCGCACCCTCCGCCGCCTACCCCACCCCACAGCTACATGCGCACCTTTGCTCTCCCAAGACATACAAGGATAACATCGTTGAACAATACGAACAGATGTCTGATGAGGTGGGTACAATCAAATATGATCTAAAAAAAATAAGTAATGTAAACAAGTGCCAGTTTGTCTTTCCAAAAAATCTATACATTTTCTCCAAAGACGACTCAGCCTCATCATGTGTACTGCCAATGTTTAGTTTTGTAACTGTTTACAATACTACAGGAATTACTTTCGAATTCATCATCATCTGATGAATTCACTGTTCAAGCCATGGGTGCTGGCGGTGCGAGGCCCAAGACCGGAGCAAGAAGTCGAGGTCGCGGGGGGAGGAGAACTACACGACCTGACTTCTGACGATCAAAGAAGGCTGCAAGCTCTGCAGAACCGACGTATGGCTGAGTTACAGGTATAACTGTGCTACTAATATTGTGGTACTGTACTGTATTATATTGCCTTTAAATATCTTTTTACCTTATGGTTCACATAATACACATATATTACATGTATGCTTATAACACACTAGTACAACCTATGAATGTGTTGTAGGAAAAAATTAAATCACTGAGGCTGGAGCAGAGAGAAATCCTTCTGCAGAGGGTTGTCCAGAGGACACCTGGGATGCTTTTTGACATTCTGTCCCTACTAGAGAATCCACATCCCACCCGTCCCATAACTGCTGTCAACTGGTGCATCTGCGGAAATTGTCGAGAGATGAACACAGATATTGAAAAAAAATGCTGCAGACAAACCCCAGAACAGTGCATCAGCAACATGGCGCACATGCAGTATTATGTTTTGGATGAGGGAGTTTTGCGTTTGGCCGCAGCTGCTTGGAACGATATCTTTGCCCTTGAAGACAATCCGCAGCCTGGTGAAGAACATCGTTGTATGAGACATACTGCTTATCGACAGTATGTCCTCTGGCAACATGGACGTCTTGGTGAGGGCAACAGAGTGGTCATTCCCAGCTGCTGTGTGTGGAAAATAAGAGACAAATTTCCAGACCCTATGGAACAGTACACTGGATTCAAAGTGCGACGCCTTGTCTAAATTATTACACTTTTACAGTTTTTGATGTTTTGTTCAATAATAATGTACATGTTATAATTCAAGTGACATTTTATTTAGAAAATAAAGCATTTATAAAAAAGCCTTGTTATTATATTTACATTGAGTACTACATTATGCACACGATAAAACGCCATTACACTGTCGCATCATCAAGTCTTCTTGGACCAGTATCCCCCCGGGACACATGTGCCCTCACTAGTTCTAAGGTGGGTGGTGGCTGCACAGGAGCAAGTACACCCAGACGTCTTGGGTCATCAGGGTGCATAGTTACTCGACGGGGAAGGCCTTTACCACTTTGCAGCCTCACAGCAAGGATGGCCTTTTGAATCTCTGGGATGTAGGAGTAGGTTTTCTTTTCTTTCATTTCGTATGCACTCCATGTTGTTGACTTTTTGTTGTAAGACTTTCGGTACCTAGACAATGAAAGTAATATTGAGTGAATAGCAGAAATATGCAAAGACCTTACACAAAATTTCGCAGTAGTAACTTGCATTTTCTGTCCTTCCTTGTTGCGTGCAGGCCTGCGTCGGTTGTGTTTATTGTAGTCTATGGCAGCAAGGCAAGTTGCTCTATAAATGTCCAATGTGTAGGACATGCGCTTTGCCGCATACATCAAGATGTGATTTTGGAAGTTTTCCAAGTCTGATGTAGATCTGTGTGAGAAAAAGAAAAGAAAATAAAAAATGCTGAAAAATACAAAACATTATATCGTGTAGTGCAGGGGTCTCCCACATTTTTCCTTGAATCAGAAAAGACTAATGTTTTGCAGATGTGTATGTTCAGTGTGTTCCTCAATCATTAGTTGCATATAATTTTGCTAAAACCATAACACTGATGACTCATCAAGCTTAGGTAGATTATGTTGAAACCTTTGGGGTGCTCATATGAGACACTGGAGAGCTAGTGCTAACTTATCCCTGTTTTTAAAGAAATAAGTACTTACCTGAAGTTTATAAACTTCTTCACTTGAGTCAGCCATCTCTTCTCAAACACAACTTCTGTCAGTACCCGATGAGCTTCAGAACCTGCCAGCATGTGTTAGTACATAACTTCATAATTTGCCCTGATTGAAAAAGGAAAAAACTACCTGGCTTGATCCAAGGCTTATCCTGACTCTCTTCAGCAAGTGGTTCATGTTCACAACTTCCTGTTGCCCAAGTGTGTTTATTGCAAACATGATGAATTACTCCAGACCACATCATCTGCCCCCCCAAATAAAAAGTGTAAATAGTAATCAAGAAAAAAAGCAAGATACACACCCAAAAAATGTTATAAATGCGAAGTACCTTGAAATGCTCCTCCGTTTGTGCTTGTTTGCTGCAATACCAGAAATGATTAACTATGTCCTTTGTCCACACAATGATTTCCTTCTGCTTCTTCTTAGTTCCCACCTGTTCATGGTACACAAGTAGCATGTTTGGTTTTAGGCATGAACAATGATCAATTCCTACAATATGATAATAATCATAAAATGTTTTAGTCAACAGTACATAGACAATTACTACTTACTCGACGCAGCTTCTTGCTGAGGCTTTTTGCAGCATGCCAAATGTGCAGGGAATGTTGAATTCCCTTATATTTGCCTCGCACAGGGTCTGTAACACATAATGTACAGTAGCGTCATCACATCCCAGCTGCATGCAATTTACGAATAGGTTATGTGGTCCTTACGAAGCAAAGCGGTAATCTGTGGGTGAGCATCAGTGACCACCTCTTTTATCTGCAAGTCAGGTAGCAAAGCTTCCATGGTGCGGCAAAAACACTCCTTCTCCATGATCACAGAGTTCCTACCAACCATCCTCTTGTCTATGAGGTCAATGTAAACAATGTCTCTCGACAACTGCTCAATAGTGGTGTAGGTGCAAAAATTTGCACAGTGACCTGAGGCATAAGAAAAACGGTCAGCAAACAACTATCCAAATTGAGCTGCTGAGATTACAAAGATTACCAGGAGAGTCCATTCTGCCATCACCTAGAAAATAAGATAAAATGATAAGCGCATACTGTGTAAAGGCTAAAAGCTTAGATACATTTGTATCACAGCCATAATGTTATTAATTCTTTGAGCAAATAAAAGTGCACTCACCAAGGAGAACAACACCATCTTCACGACGCAAGCGTCCAATGACTTCCGCTCTTGTTTGTTCCCAGTATTTCAATACAGGTCCTTTGCAATATGCATCTTGAATCCTAAAAAAGGTTGACTCTGCAACCATTCCCATTCCCATAAACTTGAAGAGGAGAGCCACCTTTCTGTAGTTGTTGCCTGAAAGTAGTATATTTGCAGATAACATGAAGTCACCACCCTGCATTTTGAATTTTAGTGTTGGCTGTGAATTCCAGCTCCACACCAGATGACCATTGGGGCATAACTGTAGTAAATAAAAAATAAAAAATACAATAGCGTTAGGGCAGTACTGTTAGTCATTTCATAGAAATACATAGCATTGTTCAACATCTTACCCAATTCAAAACCACTCCAGTCCCACGAGGTTTTAACACAACCTGAAAAGGTTGTACACCAGGACAAGGCTGACCAGTTAGTTTGTCAACATAGCTGCACTTCTGGACAGGCAGTCTCAGATGTGTGGCAAGGGAAAGGAGGTTGTCATTAAATGTAATATTTGCTCTTTTCCCAATTAGATCATCCTCAGTCTCTACACGATCGTCATCGGGTAAAAGATCCAATTCTTCTGGATCATCTGGGGTATCAAAATCAAGGACAGCCTCATCCACTGTTATTTCTCTGAGCTCCTCTATTCTCGTGCCAACAGTTCTGGGAAAGATATTACTTATTTTTTATCATATCATCATATATCTAAATAAATAAATAAATATCTATATCTATATATATATAGTTAATTATGTAGTTAGTGAGGGGAAATAAAAATTAAAGTACCGCAAACATAGTGAAGGGACAAAGTCCTCATCAGAGTCATCTTCAACATCTAAATTGCCAGGGTCATCCCAAAAATCATCCATCTCAATGCTGCATCAACACAAATATAATAAAAAAAATTATTGAAGGAGTGCAATCTGAATAAATGGAAAAGGAAATGTTCAACACTTGCACTGTGTCTTTCAAATGGCTAGTTTCGCCCTCATCTGGAGAGTCAGGAGGATGGTCTTCTGCTATGCTCATGGAGTGCATGCTACAACAAAAGGCAGATAGCTATACAAGAAATATGAGATTCAACACATACACAAATAACAAACAAAAGTAACCTTGTTTCCAGTGCCAGCACTTCACTCTCATCAGGCAAAGGTTCAACACCAAGATCTTGATTGGCTTCGCATCTAGTAAGATAGATTGTTACAAATCACAAAAACGTCAAAATAAGCTTTAGATACAGTTATGAGAACATACTTATCCTGATCAGATTCCTCTGTAATGCTTGAGACGGGTAGAGTCGGTGGCCTTGTTTGCGCTTTGCTCGGTGTTGACGTTTGCCAACGATTATAACTATTAGAAGGAAAAAAAAATGAAATGTCACAATTCTCATAGAGAAAGAATTACCGATGTGTAAGTTTTTGACACAGAACATGAGGCTTCAAGCTAGCCTTGCCCTGGTCGTGACGTACTGACAGTTGAAAAGCTACTTTCACAACTTCAGTTGCTGTCAGCAGATTTGCAAGCATAAAATATTTGCCTGAAGCACTCCTTCATCAAAATGCAGATCTGCAAACATACATAGTGTCCACCTGTGTCCAACCCTCTCCTCGCTGACCACGATCGCGCATCTAACGCGGAGTGCGCACGGAGCCATAACCGGTCAACTACACAGTAAATTATAGTTATCCGCAAGTTGTGCAAGATCACTTGTACATTCACACGTTTCACGCGGCTATTGTCAAAGCTACAGTCATTACTAGATTCGTTTGGTGCTAGATGGTAGCCATCTTGCTAGCATCTGCTAGCAAGATGGCTACACGCGGATGTTGATACATTTGAAGGGCAATATATCACAGAAAAAAATCCTACTTTTTCGAATAAACGTTACTAATAGACGTTTTCAGATGAAGTACTTACAAGTCCAGCAACAAGATCGCCAAGTCTGCGTCCAATTTACAGCCTTCTTTTTCTTTGAGCTCTCGCCATCCAGCAAATGCATTCCCCAAGTTGATTCGTTTTTGCGCTCTGTGTCGATCCGATTCCTGTTTCTTTTTCCTCCCCTCCTCGGACAAAGGTCTTCTTTGCCTTTTTTTTGCTGGCTCCGCCATGATAGAAATGTGAGAAAATAGAATTTATACACAACCGTGAGCAGCCGCGGAGCTGGTGACAGTCTAAGATGAATGTGTATTGGGCTGTCGTAAAGCAGTTCGTAGTGCCGCGAGAACGAGAACAGAGCTGCGAGACTGGCACCGGTGCGGAGGCAGGCAAATCTGCAAATGTGGTTTTCTGGCCAGAGACAGCAGGGGGAGATGAAAAACTTCCCAATCATCCCATTAACACTTGTATTACCCCCAGAGGGAATATGAAAAGGATTTATTAAGGTAAATAAGTTACTTAGTACTGCTTTAAAGGGGACATATCATGAAAAATCCACTTTTTGTGCCTTAAATGCCTTATGTTGTGTAGTTGGAGCCTCTAGAAGTGCAAAAAAGTTGAAATCAGTCTCTTCATGGGTTGCAGAGAACACTTCATATTCTGTTTAGGTAAGATTTTTCAACCCGTTCTGATTTTGCCATTCTCTATTACGTGTTTAGAATTATTACGTCACAGTATTTGCAGCGAGACTGCTATATAAGGGCATGGGCGTCTAACAAAACACTTCGGCCCAGCCCTCCTCTACTGTGCATCACTTCGAATTTGTAGTCCAAGCTCAAGGATGCCAGCGAACAGGGCTGGACTGGTCATCGGGTGTACCGGGCAATGCCCAAAGGGCCGATGTCCATATTTGGGCCGGTCTGTCTGCCTCACACAAAACACATGTTTATGAGAAGTGTAAATCCGTTGAGAATTTTTTGAGCGGGGCGCGCGTATCCGCGGGGCACCTGCTGTATGTACTCGAACGGGATTCCGCCACCTCAGCGGCCGCAGTGTTTCCGGGGCATCTGCGGCCGCTTTGTAATGAGCAGCTTCCGCGTCCAGCGGCTGCGAGAGGCTGTGAGCGTCCAGCCGCTCGCAGCCGCTCCACCGTGTTGTGGCTGAGCGCGCAGCCTCAACGTGGCCGTGTACCCAACCCCATAAACGCGCACAGGAACATGCGTGTCTTTGAGTAATCTGTGCACCCAATAAATACACTGCTGCAGGAAACAGTCCGCGTCTCCCCTCTCCTCTCGAAGCGCGATTAAACGCCCTAAATAAAGCTCTGATACCTACATTTTGCATTGAATAAAAAGTTCATGTTTGAGCCCAAAAGTAATATGTTGTGAACAAATTAAACAGATTTAGAGCCAGCAAATGGTTGACAATATGCATTTCAGTCTTTTTTGACCAATTCTCATCCCTGTAACAAACAATAGTGTTGTCTGTGTCCACCTCCCTCACTCTGAGACATGTTTATTCTCTCTTGTAATGTAGACTATTGCATTTTATTTTATTGTTGAAACTGCACATATCCTGATCCTCTACAGTATTTGCTTCCACATACTGTATAAACTAGGAGTCGGCAACCTGCGGCTCCGGAGGCGCATGCGTCTCTTTCCTTCTGTAGAAGGAAAAACGTTCTTAAAGTTTTTAAATGCTGTAAAATTGTGCATAAGTAATATTCAATTTAAACATTTCTGTCAACGTAGTGCGTCTTATCCTGCGACGTAGGCCCGCGCCGGGCGGCCGCTGTTGTAAACAAACCGGCGTGTGAGCATCATAGACTGTGCGCATCCCAAAGCTAAAAAGAGAAGAGTCGATAATAAGACTGGACTAAGAATGAAAATTAACATTTGCTTTCAGTCAATGAGGAAGGCCTGCTTCATGTTTGCGATTTCATGAGAAGTTTCTATGAGATAATTGTATTTGTGCTTAGTAACTACAAAAATGGCCGCTCGGGGTGGAGTTGAACCTGTGTCACCTGGATGGGGGCGTGGTCAAAAGC